GAAAATAAAAATGGCAATATACAAAATTACATAAGCAGCAGCCAAGGAATAGATGACAACATTGGTTTGTTTAAAACTAGATTACTGTAAAGAGATGTTGTCTGATATAACGGCTAAAAGACGTTTAAAGTTACAAGTTCTTCAGAATCAATCAGTAAAATCATTACTGGAACGAAGGAAATTCGAGCACGTAACACCAGTTCTCAGAAACCTCCATTGGCTGGCAGTAAAACAAAGGTCCGAATATAAAACTGCCCATTGTGTTATAAATGTCAAATGACACTGGACCTATAATCTAAAACAAAATTCTTGAGTTAAATCATCCAATCAGAGCTGAAAGATCAGCCAACGACAAACCGATCCTTAGATATCCCCTACAGATTAAAAAAGCAGGATATGTTCAAGCGTTCCTTTTTTATACTTTAGTCCCATATGGAACAAAACTGCCTCATAAAATGTGGAATGCCCGTATTATTCATACTTTCAGAAACAGCAGAAACATTACTTATTCACAAATGCATGCGTGTCATCGTTTGTCGTACATACTCTGGTATGTCTCTGATGTACATGTCTGACGGTGAGTATGAAGAAAATAAGAGAGAGAAAGAGAGAGAGAGAGAGAGAGAGAGAGAGAGAGAGAGAGAGAGAGGGGGAGAGAGAGGGAGAGAGAGAGAGAGACACACACACAGAGTGAGAGAGGTAGGGAGAGACAGAGAGACAGAGACCGAGATAAAGAACGAACATTTTATTGTTTGTTTATAGCCTTTCCAGTAGATTTTTATTGTGACCGTGGGGAGAATTTTACATTGCGTTCTACATTTTAGCACTTGCATTAATTTTGCCAAGCTCAATGCGAGCCATGTTTCCACCACTGACTGCTTTTGGTTTTTCTTTCATAAAAAAATAGATGCATAATATGAGGTTCTACATAATAACATTATATACCTGCCAAATAAGTAACGTGATGTCTCTTTGACTGTAATGCGCGTTGAGCTTCTTTTTGTTTTAGAAAATTGAAAAGAGCAGAGAGGAAATACGATGTCATAAAAAGCAGACTACTTGATAAAACAAAAACCCATCTCCACATAGGAAGAGAACATAGGTCTTGAGGCGTCTTGTGGTTAGGCTCTCGGACTCGCAATCGTAAGGTCGTGGGTTCGAATCCCGTCAGGGGCCCGACGTTGTGTCCTTGGGAAAGGCACTTTACACGAATTTTCCTCACTTCACCCAGGTGGGAATGGGTACCCGGCTATAGACAGCGACAGATCTTGTCAGTTTGTTAGTGTTTGAGCGCTTAATCGGCTGCTTGCACTGTATGCTTCCCGGGAAGCTGAGAATGTTTTGGAGTGTTCTGTGGTCTGCTGGGGTAATAATATAGTGTAAAGCGCATAGAGCCTGCTGTTGAGCGTGGATATGCGCTATACAACTGCTATTTATTATTATTATTATTATTATTGTTATTCTGAATGCAATAGTTCAGCTCCTTACCGCTACACCATAAATGCCAGTAGGGTTAACTTGGGAAAACAAGCAGGCTACGCACTCGGGTATAGAAAAGTTTAAAAAGCTAAAAAGGTTTGAGTAAAAAGTATTTATACCGGAAGTACTCTATGAAATCATAGGTAATACTCATGTTATTTATAATTCAATGTTTCATAGTTGTGACCTCATCTGTACAGCTCAGGTCAATACGAGTTTAGCTTCTTTTTTGTGTAGTGGCTTTTTTACGCCTCTGTCGACTTAATTTAGACCGTTTAGGGGACTGGCTTCGACCCTGCCTGTCAGGCCAATCTTGGCTGAGGTACAGGTAGAAACATCATCTCTGGAGAAAGACCGAGTTATTCCGCTCAAAAATTACCCCCACACTGGAATCGAACCTGGCTCTTCTGTTTTGGACGGCGAAGCGCCTGATTCTCACACTATAGACTTCGATTGAGCTGCTTTGATGCTGCTGGAAGGGTTAACCCTGGCTGAGTGGGGTACTTCACTCCTGCCGAAAGGTGAACATCATCAAACAAATTCGCAATTTTCCTCAAGCAGGAATCGATCTCGTCTTTGCGCGCAATGTGAAACACTTAACCCTAGAAACCACCGACACCGATTTGGTATTTCCTAAAATAACAAACGCTTTGACCCAGAAAAATGGTCTCGAGGTTTATATAATGTGGTCTTGGGGCAAATGTTCAACTGTTCTAAGCCCAGGTTGCAACTTTTTACCTCGAGAGAAAAAAAATAGTTATTTTGCATTTTTTCTTACTTTTTCAACATTTAGACTTTGGGTTTCGACAAAACATTCTCGAGCTCATGCAACCGATACCAGATTTTAAAACCTGAGATAAATTTCAAAAGTATGGGGTAAGCAGCCTTCATTTCATTAGTTGGCCCACGATACATAAATAAGCCCTACATACGCTTCCAAAAGTTGCGTATACATTTCAAGACTGTGTTCGCATTATGACTATCAGAACAAATTTTAGTATAATGGCCCGGTTACACGTAACGATAAATTGTATAAAGACTGGATGATTTAGCGACCGTACGATAAATCGTTTGGTGTAACCACAAGATTGTACAACATTTGGACGATAGGACGACGGTTTGAAGACTGAGTCGAGAAATCAAGCGCTGCTTGATATTTTTCGTGTGATCACGTTCTAACCGGGGCTTAACTCATATCAGGAGTTCTTTTAATTGTTTGTTGTCGGGCGATAGGGTGTGTGTCTTGTTTTGATTTTTTCTGTTTGTTTATTGTTGTTTTTTATGTTGTTGTGTTGTTCTGTTTAGTTTTGAAAACAGGACGTCATCTGTAGCTCTTCCCATGCCAAAATGATTTTCACGGTTGTGCCATTCCAGTGTCATGAATATGTGACAGGTTAAGCTGGTGGGTTTGTTGTTTTTATTTGGGGGGGGGGTGGTGAGTGTTTTACGGCGCTCGCAACTGCATAAGGTCATATGAGCGCGCGGGACACACCTAATACATGTACTTTTTAGTTGGTAGGAAATTTTGAATTTTGCCCGGATGGCGGCCGAAGCCTACTCTTATCGATTTTAGATCACCAAGGGATCTTTAACGAGCGCAACTTGCACACGGGCCTTCCGAGATTTTTCGCCCTTGTCCGAGAAGGCTAGGTGTAGATCTTTCCTACCAGAAGATCAGGGGTGTGGCAGAAAGACAGCTGTAAGAAGGAGGCAAGGAGTAGCAGTAGAAAGGCTGCAGAAAGAGTCAGAAGCCCAGAGGAGGGAGCACAGGAGGTGAGGGGTGAGGGGGTGGGGGCAGAAAGAGGAGACGAAAGCAGACGACAGAATATTGCTAGAGAGCAGGAAAGGAGGTGAAAGGAGACAATTTTAGAGAAGAAAATATTTTGGTCGCTACCCGAATTCGAACCCCGAACCTTTGAATGAGAGGCCAACACCTTAACCTCTAGGCCACGAGAGCCCCCCCCCCCCCCCTTGTTGGTGTTTGGAGATACCAGTTACTGAACTTTTTGATTCAAGAAGAGATACGTATCAAAAGAAAGGCAAAAGCTAAAGTACAGGAGAACAATGTTTGTTAAAAAAGATATTATCGCTCGACTGGATCATGCACATCGAAATGAGTGTCTGTTTTGCAAGGGGGGGGATAAAATCCTTTGAAAGACAGATTTTGGACTATTGCGAAAAAAAGTCAAAGGTGCGTGAGGAACAATTTATGCATCGCCTGATAGTGTCCTAATATTTCTACCACGGAAATACCTTGTTGCGATACCTCGGCTGCGTCTCTTATAAGCATGTCTATGTTGAAAGCAGTGCTAACTGTAACCAACCACAACTCAACAATATGTAATGTAGTAAGAACATTTTTAAAAAAATAAATGATAAACCCAAGGAAGTTCCCACTGAGTGTTGCTTTTTAGTAAAATTCACGATACAAATTATACGATACTTGCCTGCTTGTCTGTCTATCTGTCTGTCCCTCTCTCTCTCTCTCTCTCTCTCTCTCTCTCTCTCTCTCTCTCTCTCTCTCTCTCTCTCTCTCTCTCTCTCTCTCCTCTTTGTCTTTCTTTCTGTCTCTATTGTCTCTATCTATCTCCCCGTCTCTCTATCTCCATCTCTCTCTCTTTCTATCTCCCTCTCTCGCTTTTCTGTCTGTCTGTCTGTCTGTCTGTCTGTCTGTCTGTCTGTCTGTCTGTCTGTCTGTCTGTCTGTCTGTCTGTCTAGTGCTGGCCTGGAACAGACACAGGCAATCATAGCTCTCCCCCAGTCCTGTACAATGTACTTGCTCATTCTCTGAAATATTGCATTATCCTAACTATATCCGGTTGCCCAGAAATTTAGACGTTTTAAATGCTTTCCACAGTCTTTTTCTCGACTTTTCATTTTAGCATCATTGTCGACTGGCTGCACTAAACACTGACTCATTTGTTCTTTTTCTTCCTCGAAAATCTCCCTATTCTTTTGATAGAGAGCGTTCTCAATTTGCTTCCGATCTCTTTTATTCTTGTCCACCGTTCACAGCTATGTATACAGGTATTGACCTTGTTTACCCATGTTTTCAAAACTTTGATTGGTCTTTGCCCTTATTGATCTGTGTCTGTTCTTTAAGGAATAGGGTTCATTGTGTACTATGTCATTTGGAGAAATAGAAACAGCTGAATGAAACCGTGATTCCCATGAAATAAAATATGTACCTGTTGATATGACCCAAAGTTTCCTGTAAGTTCTTAAATCATACCTTCTCTATGTGACACTGATAACGGAAACCCCGGTCACTTCACGAGTTGACACATCTTATCAGCTCAGATTATGTTCAGTGTGTAAATGATACCCTAGATAGCTTGTGTCTGTCTTGACGGCGTTCTCCGTTATCTGCTGTTGCGACATTTCTGAAGTGGACAGATAAAAAGTTTACGTTCCCGATGGAGACTAAAAAGCGCACATGCCCTGCAAGAATACGGTACGGAGAGAAAATTAGTCTGTAAAATACTACAGCTCCAAAAGGTTCAAGTCTAGTTTGAGAAAAGATCAGGACATCGACACGATAACATCCACTTAAAGCTCGGAAAAGGCAAGATAGACTTACTAATGACATCTTTTAGGCAGCCTCTCGGAGTGATCTAACATTCTGGTCAAGTTTGTCCTTGTCCGTCTTACTTTCAGCTGACAACGCCGAATTGGTAGGTATCGTAACAGTTTTTAGATAGTATTTAAATCCCTTTCTCTTCCCTTGAATCTAATTCAAAAATAGTACTTGACTGATTTGGGATTGTTGTGAGTGTGAGTGTGTGTGTGTGTGTGTGTGTGTGTGTGTGT